ACAAAAACATTATTTATACATTGTTCTTGGAATGTTTTTTTTTTCCTGAAATGTTTTAGTTGGATGTTCATATTTTAAACATTTCTACTTGTTTTGGAACGTTCAGAGAACATTCAAAAGTAGCATTCCCATAATGTTTGCCAAATTGAAAAAGAGGAACGTTCTCTTATATTTGTCTATACAGTTTTCATTCATTTTTATTTAGTTTAATTTTTTGTCTATATAGTTTTCATTAAGTTTTATTTTAGTTTTAGTTAAGTACATCAGGTTACACTAAATTAAAATGAAAACATGTCTCTTTGGCACCAGTGATATTTTCGTATCATTGAGATGCTATTACAATTTTTGTTAATATTTGTAATTAATTTTATTTTCATATTTTCTGCATTCATGTTCATTTGATTTAAGCTTTTAGTAATTTCACTGTGTGACTTTGTCAATTTTGTTTTATTTTTCTATTTTTATTTTAATACACCAGTTAAACTAAATGAAAAAGACATTTTGCCTAAGAAACTAGCTGAAATAAAATACGTTTTCAATAATTTAATTCAAGTAACGAGTGTTTTTTTATTTGTATTTATTTATTTTACTTTAATATAACTAGGTGAAATCTAAAATTTAAAAACATTTTTTTTTATTGTATTACAGTTAACGTTTATTTTATTTCAAGTAACAATTTTTTAAAAATGGTTTTAGTTTCAGTTATAACTATAATAACCCCGATCTCTAGAATTTTTTTTTAGAACCAATGTAAAAAGTCTCACTGAAACATCAAATCCTTACTGAATAATCAGTTTGACTAAAGTACATGCTGTTCGATGTTGCCTTAGAATCTCCATTTAATCTCACTGCTGTCTTGGAGAAAGAGTACACTGAATTTGTTATGGGTAAATATCACGGCATATTGCACACCAGCGTGAGCCGTACCTCGTACAGAAGGCTGGCGTCCTCCGCTGATTTCTGAAGCGTGGGGTTGAGCAGCGCTGGCGTCCCTCGCTTCACTCTGAAGGCTGATGGGAACAGAGCTGAGAGACAGAGAGGATCATGGGTAATGTGTTATGTGACTGATCACACACTGAGATTCAGCTGAAATTCTCACAGCAAGTCAACAAGTGTTGCTGGTTTAGATTCTCTACAGTGATTCTCTACCGCAGTGCAGTCGCCTCAAAAGAACTTCTTCAACCCGCAGATTGTCAGACTAAAGCAACTGGTGATGTTCAGACACAAGCAGGCATGTGAGAGGGTCGTTTATGTTGGAGTGGGTCTGTTTAATGAAACAAATCCATGAAAGTTATACGGTAAAAACAGCATCTGTCGTCGCCAGAACTGTACTGTAAAAAATATGGTAGCAAGTAACACTTCAAGTTTTACAGAATGACCATATTTCATCGATATCAAATTAATGAATTGTGTTTTTTACCTTTATAACATACTGACAAACTCATTAAAACTAAGGAGATAAAGAGAAAGATACATGATGAATTAAACTTCAACACAAGCAAATATAGAAGCAATATGATGTCATACACAAAACAGCATCCTGGTAACAAGCGACACTAAAATAATGCAATAAACATTATTTTAGCAGCATAAAATGTCACATAAAACCCTGATGTACACTAAGAACTAAGAAGAAATGTAGTTATTGCAATGAAAAACCATCAAATGTGATTCTTTAAATTCAAATGTGAACTTTCAATTATGACTTATTCTTTCCCAGTTAACAAAACTCTGTTTTAAGAACATTTGGCTAATGTTCCTACTTGTGCGCTCCTTGTTTGGGAGTCACACTCAAAAAATATGGTAGCAAGTAACACTTCAAGTTTTACAGAATGACCATATTTCATCGATATCAAATTAATGAATTGTGTTTTTTACCTTTATAACATACTGACAAACTCATTAAAACTAAGGAGATAAAGAGAAAGATACATGATGAATTAAACTTCAACACAAGCAAATATAGAAGCAATATGATGTCATACACAAAACAGCATCCTGGTAACAAGCGACACTAAAATAATGCAATAAACATTATTTTAGCAGCATAAAATGTCACATAAAACCCTGATGTACACTAAGAACTAAGAAGAAATGTAGTTATTGCAATGAAAAACCATCAAATGTGATTCTTTAAATTCAAATGTGAACTTTCAATTATGACTTATTCTTTCCTAGTTAACAAAACTCTGTTTTAAGAACATTTGGCTAATGTTCCTACTTGTGCGCTCCTTGTTTGGGAGTCACACTCATGGTCTTTGCGGTCAAAAGTGACCGGACACCTGAAATGTAACTTTTTTTTCTTCAGTAAAATCAATCTAATATATTTTTGTTCAATAATATTTCTTTTGTATTTTGAGAGAATTTCATGGTACTAATGAATATTTATGCAATAATTATGATAATTTTTTTCCCATTGAAAACCGTGCAACATTTGTTTTTCTAATTTTTCAATTACTGCAGTATTTCAGATTAAAATAGAGACTAGGCCAGTGTTTCCCAACCCTGGTCCTGGGCGCCCCTCAACACTGCACATTTTGTATGTGTGCAGTGCTGGGGGGTGCCCAGGACCAGGGTTGAGAAACACTGGACTAGGCCATTAAAATCCAATTTTTGAAGGCAGAATAGCACCTCCTGGTGAGAGCAAAAAAAAAAAAACCTTGTAATTTCATAGTGTAACCACTAGATCCCGTATAGGACTCTATAGAGAGGCTTGTGAATTCCCTAGTTGTTTTTATACATAATTGTTTACTTTTATTAGGTTGTGGATTTAAATGTATATTAAGGCATTCTCAAAGACTACTTTTTGTCCAGGTTTATATTTTTTGTTGTTTTAAATGTTGATTTGAAGTGTAGGTTTTTGCCTTATTCAAACCTGAACACAGAAAGCAGTTTGTCACACAAAACATTACAATTCTATAAAAATGTAACAGGAATGCTTTATCAGAGCTTAATCCTTCTGGTTCTGATTTGATTTTAACGTCTTATTTCAGTCTTCTGACTCATTTTGGCTGTATGGTTATAGCCATACCAATTCATTTGAGTATGAATAATTCTGTATGTGTGTGTCTGGGAGTGTGTGTAAGTAAGTGTGTGTGAGTGGATGTATCTGTTTTACACTCTGTTTTAGAGTGTAACCCCTTCCTTGCTGTCCACTTTTTTTACTGAATTGTAGTCGAATTATTGAGTTTATTTTACATAGTTGCAGAGTTACAGTCACCAGTTCATAGGTGTGTGTGTGTACAAGTGTGTGTCCACGCGTGAGTGAGTTGGTGTGTTGATTTTGCACTCTAGATGTTTTAGAGTTTCACCCCTTCATTGCTGTGCAATTTTTTCTGCATTGTGGGGGATTTGTAGATAGTACACATAAAAATTGTCTGTATTTTTGATTTTTTTACACCCCGATCTGGTAACTCCCATTACTTTCCTGCAGAGACCTATACTTGCATGTGTTCAGCAACTGCGCATCTGCGTCTCTTCTGCGCATGTCAGCGGCTGATGGATTGGTCTCGTTCCATCATGACGGCTGCGTTTAACATCTGCATTACAGGCCTGCAGTCGAAAGACACGCATCTCTGACTGTGAAGAATGCAGGATGATATCAGTTAAGTACGGATGGGTTATTAGTCATCCAAACAACTAGCAAGTGACATGAACTAGTTATTGAGTGAAGACTTTAAACTATGGAAACTCGCAGGAACAACAGGCTTGAACCAAAAACAAGCTGAAGTTGACGGGAGCTGGTCATGTGTTTGATCCGCTCAGGATGTCGCCAACATCACACACATTCCACATGTTTGCACCGATCAGCCGCAGATGTGTGTCGGTGGGTCCTCAGACTCTCACCTTCGCAAACTTGATCCTCCTGCTCTAAACTGACCTTTAAAACGCCACAAACACAGTCGAGCCAAAGCCTACCGCCGCCAGCCTTCTCCTCGTGACCGCCGCACTTCCATGGAAATTATGTCACTTCACGAAAACATGCTTATGAGGAAAACGCTTTATAGTTTCCTCAGTAAAGCGTCAGTGTGTGTCCTCAAAGATAAACCGCACACACACAGTCAGAAATATATTTCACATGTTTGTGTGCAGCAGGATTAACGCTTTCATTCTGGATGCATTAAATCGATCAAAGGTCACTGTAAAACATGTTAATGTTAAGACATCTATTTTTGTGAATCGTTTCCACAAAAATATTGGGCAGGACAACTGTTTTCAACATCGATGATCAGAAATATTTCTTGAGCCGTAAATAAGCATTTTATTTTTTTTTTCTGACTATATTGTTCTGAATTCTGAAATTTTGTCTCAAAATTTGGACTTTGTTTGTTACAAGAACTATCCATTTAAATCTCACTATTTTTTTCTGCCATGCATAAAGACATAAAAAGGTAATTGCAACTTTTTTGCAATTGATTTTTGCCTTGCAAATTGCAAGTTTATATCTCACAATTCTGACTTAAATTGATATCAATTCTGAGTTCATGAAAAATAAAGTCAGAATTGTGAGATATAAACTCAAAATTGCAAGAAAAAGGTCAGAACTGTGAGATTTAAAAGTCGAAATTACTTTTTTTAAATTCTGCATGGGCTTCCATATTCTGGAAACCTCATATTCAGTTCTAATGAAATATGAATTTTGGTAACAAAATGTTTTATTTTTTATTTTGACCTCAGATGTTTCCCAACTTTGTTGGCGCACTTTATATGTGTCCACATAACTAATTTCAAGCATTTAAGCAGAAGCGTGTTGATTTGAAGTGCTCATGCTCTGTAAGTGAGTGATCTGATGTAAGCAGTGTCTCCTGTCGTACCTTTCCTCCAGTGCAGAGACGCAGTGATGGACATCTGACACATCAGCGCAGACACAGACAGAATCCAGAGGGCCGTCATGCTGTTTCTCCTCTTCTCTCGCTGCTTCTCAGTCAGGCCGAGTGACCGTCGCGCTCAGCGGTAAATATACAGACAGACAGACACAGAGAGAGAGAGAGTCTGGCCCCATCTGTCTCCTCCTGTTGTCCCTCTTCCTTCAACATACTACTTATTTCTCCTCCCTCTTTGACGGGACTGGAATGTGTGTGTGTGTGTGTGTTTCATCTGGAAATAATCACAACTCAAAGGCACCAAATTCATCAGCACCAGCTTTCTGTGGCATACAGATCAGCCATATATATAGCTCATTAACTGTAATGAAATAATAATATATAAATAAAATAAAATATATTTTATTATATTATATTGAAAAAAACGTATTTTATTTAAGCTGGTTTCCAAGACTGCATTTCTCATTTTTGTTTAGTTTGGCTATACATACACTTCAATTTTACCTTTGAGGGCACCTCAAATTAAAAGTTTTGTTATATTTGTCACATAGTTTTGTCACCAGGATGAATCCACACACACTCTGCTTCATATGAATCATCTAGATGAGATGTGTTGTTTTTCAGGACATTTAACATCAGCGTCCAGTGCTGCATGAAAACAGTCTCAGTGTTCGGTTCAGGAATTCAGAGACTGCTGTTCCAGCAAACGGCTGTTTTCATTGGCGACAGACTGCAGGAGAATGTGAAGTTCAGACAAAACAAGGGTGCAGCAAACTGACCTCAAACTGCACCACACACACCCCAAACCTCACCACATGTTCACACATTACACAAACATTATGGGGACACTTAGAAAATGTGTAATTTCTTGTAAATAAAGATGCACAAACACACTTTACAATCAAAACAAAAGCAAGACACGATGCTGAAGATGAAGACAGCCAGTTCACATTTGCTGAAATGTGCTGAAAATGTGCTCCTCCTCAGAAGCGCTAACATGCAACTGACCTGCAGACACCGACAACATGAGCAACATTAGTCCAATTTGCACACAATCTAACCTGTATCCTACGCAAGATTAAAGCATCCCAAATCACACACATTCCATGAGCAATGTATACATTTTTTGTGCAATGTATATGAACAATGTATAAATGTTTTGAGAATGTTAGACCAAATAACTTTGACCAAAAGTTTTATTAACATTACTAGAAGAACATTTGTTCTAATTTTGAGAAGACGTTGCCACTTGAACTTCCCAGCTAATAAAAATATGTTCAAAGAACATTTTTCTAATGTTCCCAGTGAGTTACGAAAACATTCCCATTATGTTTGCAAATTGATCAAATGGAATGTTCCATTTTACAGAAGTTTGTGTTTGTTCTATATAGAATTCCTCAGTTGTACATAAAAGGTGAGGAATGTAAGGCATATAAAACTAAAATTGGAATAATGATAAATAATGAACAATGTAGTGCATTGGCAAGCAGTACATGACAAGGTTTATAATATCAAGATGCAATTGTATGACACGATTTGTCTTCTACTTTGTTTATTTTATTCAATTTTTTTCTCAGTTTGTATTTTTATTACCATTACTGGCACCTTATTTATTTCCATTTTGTTTTCTGCTTTTTAAAAATTTAAATAGTATGTCCCAATAGCATATATACTCAAATGCATGTGACCAGTGAAATACAAGGATGTGAACTGAGGCACAGAGTGAGAAACAGCAGCTTCTAAATAGTGTTTCTCAGTGGAAGAGTCAAGATCAACACACACACACACACACACACTCCTACAGCACCAGCGAGGGCCCAGATGAGATGATTAACACAAACTCAAGAGCGCGAGGAGAGAGACTGGATCACTTGGGGTCACAGATACGTGGTGATGATGATGATGATGATAGTGAAGGCTGGACTGCTATCCTGTACTCTGGTTTTCTCTGGTCTCAGTATAATGGCACAGGGACTGAACGGCCATGAATCACAGCAATGAAAACACTGAGACTGAACAAAGAGAGAGTGTGCAGGGAAAACAGAGATGCTCTAATAAAAACCCAAGCGTCTCAGCGGTCTCTTGCATTGGCAAGCAGTACATGACAAGGTTTATAATATCAAGATGCAATTGTATGACACGATTTGTCTTCTACTTTGTTTATTTTATTCAATTTTTTTCTCAGTTTGTATTTTTATTACCATTACTGGCACCTTATTTATTTCCATTTTGTTTTCTGCTTTTTAAAAATTTAAATAGTATGTCCCAATAGCATATATACTCAAATGCATGTGACCAGTGAAATACAAGGATGTGAACTGAGGCACAGAGTGAGAAACAGCAGCTTCTAAATAGTGTTTCTCAGTGGAAGAGTCAAGATCAACACACACACACACACACACACACACACACTCCTACAGCACCAGCGAGGGCCCAGATGAGATGATTAACACAAACTCAAGAGCGCGAGGAGAGAGACTGGATCACTTGGGGTCACAGATACGTGGTGATGATGATGATGATGATGGTGAAGGCTGGACTGCTATCCTGTACTCTGGTTTTCTCTGGTCTCAGTATAATGGCACAGGGACTGAACGGCCATGAATCACAGCAATGAAAACACTGAGACTGAACAAAGAGAGAGTGTGCAGGGAAAACAGAGATGCTCCAATAAAAACCCAAGCGTCTCAGCGGTCTCTCCTCTCCTCTTCAAGAGACCAAACCCCTTCACAAAGTGCTAAAAAGTAATCAGATGAGAAATCTTTTTTAATTAAATAATTCAGTGCACTATAAAACACACTGTAACACTCAGGACTCAAATCGCCCTCTCCGGTACAAAAAAAAAAAGCATTTATTGAAAAGCATTCTGAACAACTGAGTGCGTCAAGCTAAGTTTAACAATTTAAAAGTTTGTATTGACGGTAACATCGATAAAAATGTTCATGTAAAGTTATCTGCTCATTAATAACACATTGTTCGTAGAATTATTTTAGATGTTCATCCAATGTTTTTTAAATGTTGTTTCAGAATGTTTGGAGAACGTTCAAAAGTATCATTCCTATAATGCTTGCAAAATGATCAAATGGAATGTTCCTTTAACATTTTAAAATATTTAAATAACTGGGCATTTTAAATGATCAGAGAACATCCAAAAGTAACATTTAAATATAATGTGAAACGGTTTTAAAACGTATTTTTGTTACCTGATAAAGAGGATATTTACAGGTTTTTTTTCCATTCCATGGAAGTCAATGGCTAGGAGCAACTGTTTGGTCACTAACATTCTTCAAAATATCATCTTCTCTGCTCAACAGAAGAAAGAAACTCACACAGGATTGGAACCATAGACATGTATAGGTAGATGCCAAATTCAATCGCTCCAGACACGTCAATGCAACCGCCATCTTGGAACAGTCAATGTGTCGTCACTCACAATAAAAATAAAAGAGTTTCAAGATGCCACAACATTGTGCAGCCTCCGGTTGTAAAAACTGCCGAAATGTAAACTTTCACAGGTAAGAATGCGTTGGTTTGTGTTTTTAATATAAATTAACTCAGTGTTACAGGCTTTTAAACTATAGTACCTTTTAAATGTCATGTTAGCGAACAGCTTCGTAATGTGTCAGTTTAGCAAAATCATCTGCTCAAGTCTATTGCAGATATAGATATTCATACATGCGTATAGCTTGCAGACATACTTGCTGACTCACTGAGTGGCAAAAAGACTGGTTTTCAGCGTGAATGCTGCAACAGAACACACAAAACACATCTAAAACGAGACAGAGCTTTGCGATTGACTGTACAAACGGATTTGACAAGAAATCCGAGGCATATTTTTACAGACTGCTGGAAGCTACAGAAAAGAGAAGCAAATGGATCCCTGCAATTCACAGAAACAAACGGACTCCAGGCATCAATTAAATATTTACCATCTTATATTCTGCATAACTGGATGTTTTTAAATAAACACTGACAAAATCTATATAAGTTTTTGGGCTGAACGATATGATGATGTAGCTTATATAACATTGATCAAATTGATCACCCGGATTTAGACCAACCTATTTTGTATTTACAAAATAAATACTTTATGTACGGTGTCGAAATCAGGCACATATAAATGTCAGGAAACATGATTCCTGACTGCATATCAATATCCATGGATCTGGATCTTTGGTAAGTTGTGAAGAACACTATATTGAGTGACGTGACATGTGGCCAAGTATGGTGACCTGCATTTATCCCATCCTTAGTGCACACACACAGCAGTGAACACACACACACCGTGAACACACACCCGGAGCAGTGGGCAGCCATTTATGCTGCGGCGCCCGGGGAGCAGTTGGGGGTTCGGTGCCTTGCTCAAGGGCACCTCAGTCGTGGTATTGAAGGTGGGAGAGAGTGCTGTACATTCACTCCCCCCACCTACAATCCCTGCAGGTACGAGCCTCGAACCTGCAACCTTTGGGTTACGAGTCCGACTCTCTAACCATTAGGCCACGACTTCCCAATAAGAAACCTTGAGAAGTGAACCTCAGGAAAGTAATGAGAGGAAACTGTATGATATGAACTTTAACTGCACATAAGCGACTCTATCTGTCATCAAAACACTGACAGCAGCGTGTGCTAATACAGTAAACGCAGATCTGACTGACAGCACATTTACTTCACCTGCATCTGCAGAGAGACAGATGCACGGGCGCGAGATAATCACTCTAATGGCAAAATGTTTTGGACAGCCACGCTTTCCCACAGACTGAAATAAATGCATTGAGTGTGATTTGAGCGAGGTGACGATCGTCGAGAGAGAGAGAGAGAGAGAGAGAGAGAGAGAGAGAGTCCGTGGGGGCCGCGAGCGTCTGACAGCTTAATTGCAGGTGCGCGCACTCAAAGGCAATTCAACTCAGAGAGACAGAGACAGAAAGCACGCAAAACGGGTCGTTGTTAAGACTCGATTCAGCACTGCTGATGAAACATCATCAAATTCTCAAACTCAGACGGGGCGGTTCCGACCTGTCTAAACTAGTCACCCAACATAGACCCAACTGAGCAAGAAAAACACAGACCCAGATCACCCACAGAACAAGACTGAAGGAATCCAGAAACACAGTCAGAGATGAACTCATGAAAAAATATCAGATAAATATTCCACCACAAAATCAGAAAAAC